GGCCTGGTTCCTGAGCCAGGAGAGAGCCTGCCATGGACCTGAACACGGTGGTCTCCTACGTCGGTGTTTCTCAAAGACAAGCACACAGGTTCCTTTCCCCTGAGATACAGAAGGGGACAGCAAGTGTAAGAAATGCAGGACACTTGTAAGGATGCCATGCCTTTACAGTTTCTTAAAAAAACACACTAACTTTTATTGATTTCAGAGAGGAAGGGGGAGGGAGAGAGAGATAGGAGAGAGAATCATTGATTGGCGGCCTCCTGCATGACCCCTACTGGGAATTGAGCCCACAACCCTGGGCATGTGCCCTGACAGGGAATCAAACCCTGACCTCTTGGCCCATAGGTCAATGCCAACCACTGAGCCATACCAGCTGAGCCAGTTTCTATAATCCTGTTCTTTTCTCTGATTTTTTAAAAGAAGGTACCTAAACCCAGTACCTCTTTAAGTCCCCTTTTAGGGCATTAGTCTGTTGTTGGCTTCAGTCTTTCAGTCTTTTTGTGACTCAGATAAATGAGCGCTGTGCTGATTCTGCCTTGAGATGCACCTTCCCCTTGAGTGAGGCCATCACTGTGGGGTGGCCTCCCAATGCCTGTGAGCAATGAGCAGCAGAGTTTGCACAGTACACACGTATGTCTTAAAGAAAATAGAGGAGAACAGAGCCATACTTATCCTCTCTCTTTATATTTATAAATAGAAACAATAGAGAATTTTAAAAAGTGATTGCCTATGGGGCAAAATGAGGGCTGATGTGGACAGGGAAAAAAGCTAGACTTTTGTTAACATATTTAATAATTTTATCTTGAGAAACATTAAAATAATTACATATAATAGAAAGTTTAAATCAAAAGTTTCCAAAGACAATACATAAAAAGGTAAGCAAACTTACAATTGAAATAAACTTGACAAAAATATACAATTAAAAATCAAAACTTTTTGATCCTTGCATAAAACATTGTGAAACTATAACTGTAAACCAGTAGATAGTTCTACATTCCATCAACTTTAATAATATAAAGGAGTGAACAGGTTTCAGGGAAAGGCACCTGATGTGGCTAGAAGATGGTGGGTTCTGCTCGTGTGTTTCACCTGAATAGTCAGTTTCAGTGTGAATCTAAAATCTAAAGACTAAATAAGTGACTCAGTTGTATATTTCAAAGGAATAGTCACTTGAACACAATTTTTCTACTGTCAGAGATAGTTATTTCATTTTCAAGCGAATTTAAAGATTATGCCTATTTTAATTACATTGAGTATTAGTTGTGTGAAACAGGTTATCATTATGCTGGAATTTAATAAGCTGATAGTAACATCTGCAATGTATGCAGTTGAGATAAATTCTATTTAAACCCATCTCACCTTTACTCTTGCTTTGATCTCAGATGAAGTGACTTGTCTCATTTTATTTTAGACCTGGGTGTGAAATTATAAGGTAGAACGGGAGTATATTTTGATGAAGATGGTTTCTGCTCTTAGTAGAAAATCCACCCTAATTTGCTTTATTTTTCTTACACTTATTGTTGTACATGGAAGGTAGAGCCCGGGTGGGGCATCTCCAGAGCTGGTCAGCTCCTGAGGCCAGTGGCATCGCCAGTGAACCTGGACTTGGCATCTCACCCCTCTATCGGCCGTCAGCTCCCCCGAGACGGCAGGATGCCTGAGGCAGCTGTAGGCTTCATACTCTCTCACAACAACTTCCAAAGGCAGGAAAACAGAGCGGTTTCTCTAATGTGCTTTTATAAGGAGCAACTAAACTTTCCCAGAGTCCCCCCTCCCCCTGCACCTTCTTCCCACACATGAGGAGGACCCTGGGGTTACAGCTGTAGACTAGCCCTTTGTGGGCATGGGAAGAAAAGGAGCAAAACCATATTTTTTAGAAAGAAAGAAATGGTATATGAGGCAGGGAGGAATGGTTTTAGGGTACAGAAACTATAGCTCTGCACTTTCAGATTGCTTGCAGTTTAAATAATTTCCTCAGAAATGATGATAGATTCTTAATGGACAGCATCAATTCAAGGTTATGAGTTGTTTTTTTTAAAAAAAACATTGAGTACTAAATCTCAGCCATATACCTAATTATGAAAAACAAACATATAAACAAGCAAGAGGATTAATTTGTTTTTAGAACTTATTAGGCTGATACTTAATTTAATGAGAAAAAAATATATATTCCATGGAAAATTTTGAAAAAAGACACAGAAATAATGACTAGGTTTACAAGATGCTAAAACCTGTTATACATTTACTAGAGGCCCGGTGCACAAAAATTTG